TCGATACCTGTGGTGGACACAGCACAGATAGCCCATTGTGTAGCTTTGCGCTTAACTACAAACAAACTTATAAACGTTACATGTATCTCTGCAAAGCCAAATGGTCAGGCCTCAGTCGTTTGAGTTAAAAACTAATCGAAGACAAGAAACTATGAGATACGATTTTGTTTTTCTTTTATTCACAAATGAAAAAAAAAAATTGGAAAACATTAAACACCAACTGTTATACCATGCAGCCGTACTTTGATATTTGTTTTACTAGCTGGATTTACTAGATGACCCCCGCGTTCGAGCTTTGGTCGTCGCGACTCCCTCCCCTCATTATCTCTACAAGGATGAAAAACAGTTTGTCATAGTTCATAACAAAGGTGATATGTGCACCTCTCAGCTACTTTGAGAACTCGACAAAAGAAAAAAAATGTTGACTCAGCACAGACTGCTCGTGATACCCTGGAAACCTGCTCGCGACCCACCGTTTCAAAAGGTTCTTATTGTGAAAATTACTCACCTTCTGCATTGTGGAATGTGTGATCATTCCCTTTTGGCACTGTGGTAGCTCAGAGGTAAAATTGAGGGATTATAACGTTGATATTCAGGGCTCGATCGCAACAGTGGGCAAAGCCCTTTTTTTACGTTGTTTGATATGTTTGTTTGTTTGTACTTAAGCACAAAACTTCGCAATGGGCTATCTGTGCTCTGCCCACCACAGGTATCGAAACCCGGATTCTAGCGTTGTAAGTCCGCAGGCATGCTGCTGTGCCATTAGGGGCCGTTGTTTGATATAAATTTCGTATCTTCGTAATAGTTTTAATTCCAACCGTTTAAGCACGCATCATTTATTGTACAAAATTTAGTCGGCTGAAATAACTAATAAAGATTTTGTCTTTCATTGTGCCAAAAACGTCATTTTTGTTTTTACTCTTAATATAGTAGCACAGTGTGGCTGAAAAGAAATGCCTTATTAGTTTTTTAAGACGTAGCTTTTGTGTCAATGAAAATACTGTAAAAATAAGAAGGGAATTTTATCTATTACGTAATGCAATGTATTAAAACAAATTATTAAATTTTTATCTTTCAGTAATAAAAAATATCTAGAAAAAATAGTGTTATAAGCCATGTTCTTAATACAGGAACCCGATCCCAAATCCGGAATGCTTAGGACTTCACAATCCAGGAAGGAGCCATTGTTATAAGCTATATTTTAAATGTTGTAATTAGATGTTAACTAGACGGCGCAACACATAAAAATCGAATTAGTCCTAGAATATACCAGAATATTAATAAACGAGAGGCTTTGCGAAATATATAGAACAAAGATTAGGTTATAAATACGGGTAAGCCGGTCAACTGGCTAAGTAAGCTTGTACTAAAACAGTGAAGCATCACGAAGAAAGATTTGTTTTTTAGCCGATAGAGTGAATCAGTCAACGCTTTTACATTTTTTGGATCTGTGTTAGCTATAGCGCATACTGAGCTACTTTGTACAATTAAGTTGGGTTTTTTTTACGTTAGTTTAGTGCAGACAGCATGGTTGTAAACGTATGCTTACAAGAATTTATAAACTGTACAAGCCTGTAAAGAAACGGTAAGGAGAAAATAAAACTAATTTGATATTGTCACGTAGATTAGACGTAAAATAATTTTCACCTGATAATTTAAAACAACACGTCAGCGTAAAAACATCGTATGCAACAGTATATTGGTGACCTTATACTTTATAGTGAAATTTTTTGAATTGTGTTTGAAAAGTGTTTCGACAAGAAACTGTCATACTTTTATGTTACTAAACTGCAATTGGAA